CCAAGCAGCTGTCATCCCTGATCAGACTGACTTTGATCTGTCCCAGAATTCCCTTTGCTTTTCCTTACCTCTTTGTCTTACCCCACCCCACTTGGTATATTCCGAGTTTGGATAGGATACATCTCAGTTTCCCGAGACAGCACACCCAGAAATGGTGTGCACCGTCCCTTGCATCTGAAATGCCTTCCTTTATTCTTACACTCAATACAACCTCGTCTTAGTCCAACTCAGGCTAGAAGTAATTTTGTCTCAGAATTCTGAAGGCATTGCCCAGTACTTTCTTGCTTTATGCTGCTGCTGGGAACTGTCATGTCACTGTGACCCTTGATGCTTTTTAAGGACATGTTTTTTGTTTCCTCTCATTGGAAGTATTATACAATTTTTCTTTGAAATCAGTTTTCTGAAATTTTACAAGTGTTTGATGGACTGAGCCTATTTTCATTCATTGTTCTGATAGGTAGTGGATGCTCTCAACTTGGAAACTCATGCTTTGAAATTAATATTAACTGAGTTGTTTGCTAAATATTCCCCACTTTATTGTTACCTCCAGAAGGGCCCTCTAATTAAAAACAGTTTTTTCACCTATAATTCTGAACTGGCCTCTTGTTCTTATTGTCTTTGATTTTTTTTTTTTTTTTTTTTTTTTTTTTTTTTTTTGTAGTGTGCTGGGTTGGTTCTATAAGAAATCAGGCTGAGCAAGCCATGGGGAGCAAGCCAGTGAGCCGCACCCATCCATGTCCTCTGAATCAGCTTCTGCCTCCAGGTTCCTGCCCTGCTTGAGTCCCTGCCTTGGCTTCCCTCAGCAATGGAGTGTACCTGAGAGTTACACGTTAAAATAAACACTTTCCTCTCCAAGTTGATTTTGGTCAGTGTTTTGCCACAGCAATAGAGAGCCTACCTAAGACAAAGAGGATCTTGTGTAACCCAGGCTGGTCTTTAGGAAACACTTTGGGAAATGTTTCCATCTTTTTATTCTTGTTTTTAACTTCTGTGTTCTACTCTTAGTCTCTAACCCTTCTTTCTTTGAGCTATGGTGCTTTTAGAAACAGATCATTCCTTCTTTTCATGCAATATCTTTTGTTCTTGGAGAGTGGTGGTAACATTGTCTTTCCTTGAGTTTTAGTTTCCATCTGCTCCATACAAACTGTCTCTTCCAAGCCCCTCCTCTGGTTCACATCCTTTTTGGTCTCTATCATGGATCTTACACACATTCCTCGTATTTGTGATGACCCTGTGGTGTCTGATCCATTTAGGAGAGGCACATAGGACTGAGTGAGCTCTCTGAGCATGTGGCAGGAACTCAGGGGTCTGCACTGGGCTCCCTGTCAGTATCTGCAGGTCTTTCCAGAGTCTCCTTTCTTCCATCTGGCAGGCCCAGACTGATGGCACTGTCCTGGAAGACAGAGGGGACCAGGCTGATTTGATGATCCTTGGAGACAAGAGGTCTGTTAGGGATGTGTCCATTTCGTCGTCCGTTTTCACTTCATTCTTTTCTCCATCATTATCCCAATATGGCGTTTCTACCCTCTCTTGAGTTAAGCAATCTTATTCCAAGGACTGCAGAAGGGCAGGGAGGGGCCCCTCACAGAGCAGGGAGGCATCTACCAAGTTCTCAACAAACTTCACCGGTCCCACCATTTTGGATCCTGGTTGCGCCATCTGCTCTTTTGTTGCCTTTCAGTGGTTGTGACAAACACCACAACGGAAAGAGACTTAGGGAGGAAAGGGTACCAGGCAGGACAGACCGTCATGGGAGGGGGGGGGATGACAGCCCAAGCTTGAGGCCAGCCTAGCAGTCAGGAAATCCTGTTTCACTCGCACACGGGGAGCTCAGACAGGAAACCAGAAGCGGGGGCGGGGGGGGGGGGCAACTATAAAATCCAGGCTCCCAGCCCAGTGTGCACTTCCTCCAGCAAGCCCCGCCTCCTGGAGGGTCTCTAACTCACAAGCCCCGCCTCCTGGAGGGTCTCTAACTCACAAGCCCCGCCTCCTGGAGGGTCTCTAACTCACAAGCCCCGCCTCCTGGAGGGTCTCTAACTCACAAGCCCCGCCTCCTGGAGGGTCTCTAACTCACAAGCCCCGCCTCCTGGAGGGTCTCTAACTCACAAGCCCCGCCTCCTGGAGGGTCTTTAACTCTCCCAAGCAGCAGAACCAGCTTGGGACGAAAGTGTCCAGAGGTGAACAGTTCACATGCAAACCACACTTTTACTAATTCCTAAACCACGAGCAGTTCTTGGAATTAATACATTGCTTTGATTCCTGCCTTTTATCCCCCTTCCAGTTCTCCTAGCTCTGCTACCATCTCTTCTAACGGACTTCCTTGTCCTTTTGGGTTTGTAGAGGAGAAACTCTTTTTACTCAGTTTAGCAGGGTTTGTGAAGTAAATTTCCCATCCACCCACTGAAATAGAAATCACCAAACACTGAAAATTAGCATCATCTTTCTTTCCTCTTTCTTTCTTTTCTTTTCTTTTCTTTTTTTTTTTTTCTTCTTCTTCTTCTTCTTCGCTTCTTTATACTTGGGCTTTAGTTTCCCAGGCTCTCTGGGCTTGTGTGCTTCTTCCAAGTAGACGCATGTGCACATGCCCATGAGAGGCAGAGGAGGGTGTTGGATTCCCTGGAACTGGGCTAGCAAGAGGGTGTGAGCCACCTGAAGCAGATAAGAGGAACTGAACTCGCGTACCCTGGAAGACCAGCAAGCTTTCTCAGCCGTCACTCCAGCTCCACTTCAGTCTTCATAAGGACAATGCACTGTTTGCCTTAAGTAAACGGAATAAACACGCAAGGCTCCAGTTAAGGAATTTTAGACAATCACGGCATTTCCAAGGGTAAGAAAGGCTTCTTCCTGAGTTTTCTCAAATCAGTTACTGAGGTGAGTCCAACTGCACCCACACATTAGGCAGGCTGTACATTAGTGTCATTCCAAGCATCCCCGGGGTAAGAATAGGAAATGCAACCACTGGCTTAGTTATAGTTCTAGCTAACTTGTGCATCTCAGAAATTAGGGACCAGGTAGATCAATCATTGAGTATTGGTATTAACCCAGAACCAAACATGTTTTATTGTGTTTATAATAAGTATGCAAAGTCAAGTGCCCATCACATACAACTCTGAGCCTGTTTAAACATATGTCTCCACACAAGTTGTGGTTGTAAGGCAATATGAAAATACAAAATGCCATATAATTAGGCCAGGAAAACTATTATAGTTAATAGAATGTCCAAACCTCCTAAATAGTATGAATAATACTGATAATAACAACAAACATTATGTACTCTGGGTTGGAGCAGGAACAAGGAGCTTGAATTTGTATTCAACAAATAATAGAGGATGTTGCCGACATTTTAGTTTACAGAAAATGAGGTCACATTTACTGGCCTTTGAGCACAGCAGAAGTACAAGCAAAAAACAGAAGAAGACTCAAGTCCCCCCTTACCTGACTTATTCCTTGGTTTCCCATACTCTGTGTTGTTACTAATATGACAACGGGGAAAGTCTGTGAAAACCCGTGTAGCCCACACCCAAGAGTGGCAGAGCTGGACCCCAAAAGACACCCAGCTCCAGGGCCTGGCTTCTTAACCTGGCTAAAGGGGGACCTCATCTGCCCCTTATTTGTCGTGTTCAGGGGATTCTACTATAAATGGGTATTTTTACCAATGGTTATGAGAAATAGACTCCACTCTAGATCAGAACTCCCCGATCGGTTTTCTGGGTGAAATGCTAATATCGGCTTTCAGCAAAGTTCTCCGGGCTCTTTCATCTTAAAATTGTCCAGGCGGGTCAGCGTTTCCTCTGGGATTAAGACACTGTTGCGCAGTGTTTTCGGAAGCGTCCAGCTCAGTGCTTATCACACTGTAGACCCACTCCTCAGTCTCGGGCATCTTGAATTGTGATGGGAAAATTAAAAATTAGGGTTTATGGCAAGAAGGGAAAATAGAACAGGAATTTCTGCCAGTAGATAAGTCCCTGACTACAGAGTACAGAGCCCACATGCTGTTCTCAGGAGATAAGAGAGAGAGAGAGAGAGAGAGAGAGAGAGAGAGAGCACCCTCTAATCTTGCCTATCCATAGGACCTTGTAAAGAAACTCTAAGAAACGTCTGTAACCTTGGAAACCTTGTGAACTGAGACTAGCAGTCTCAAGCCTCCCTTTACCCTTTAAAAACGGTTCGCAATTGTAAGCAGGCGCCTTATACTCTTCCCCGTAGAGTGAGGTCCAGGGCTGGTTTGGTTCTTAGCAATAAAAACCTTTTGCTTTTGCAGTCGGGAGACACACATTCTTTGCAGGTTGAGGAAACCCGTAGGCACAACAGAAGATCCCTTTCCTTTCCAGGAACGCACTGAAAACTCCTAAGTCACTCTCCTGACTTATTTAACCGAACCCACCCCTCGTCCCACGTGTCCACCGGGCACTTCCTGTTTTGCCAAGACTAAGCTATTTTGCAGCGCAGCGGAGCCTTTTCACCTGCCCCTTCCTCCTAGCACGTGGGCCAACCGCTCGCTCCGGCCATGGGGATGCTGCCATTTCCCTAGCGGCCTTGCAAACTTGCCCCGTAAGCGCCATGCCAACGCGTGCCTGCAAACGCCGCACACTGCGCCAGCAGCTTCCAGCTCCCGGTGCTCCGGGTGCACCGCCGGCCCCGCCCTCTCCGCCCGCCGCGGCGGGCGGCGGCTGCGCGCCCCGCCCCACGTCCAGCGCCAGCGCCAGCGCCGCAGGCGGCGGAGGCCTGGGCGCCCCCTGCAGGCCGCGGCGGGCACAGCGGCCGGAAGAGCCCGAGCCTCTGCCACGGTGTCCGCGCCGCCGCCGCCGCCGCCGCCGAGCTCCGCCGGCCCCGAGTCCCAGCCGAGTGACCTCGGAGCCGCCCGCCGCGGCCCCGCGCCTCCCGCTCGCCCTCCGCGCTCCGCTCCCGCCCGCACCCGCCTTCACTCTGGAGCGGCCCGGGCAGCCGCAGCAGGGGCGGCGGCGGCGCATCGAGGAGCTCTCCAGGTCGTCCCGGGAGAGGCTGCTGCAGTCCCGGGACAGGATGTTTTCCAAGCTCACGTCCATCCTGCAGCACGCCGTGGAGGCGGTGAGGCCGCGCGGGCGGGCGGCGGGGCCGGGGAGGCACGGCCGATCGCGCTGCGGGGTGCGGGGAGGCCTGCGCCCGCCGGGGACCGGGCGGCTCCCGGGCCTCCCGGCCGTTAACCCCCGGGCCCGAGGGGCCAGCGCCGCGCCAGACAATGGAACGGCGGGCAGGGCCTGGGCTTGCTTTGGCTCCGGTGCGGGTGGGAGAGGAGCGGTGGGACCGCGGGGCCCGGCCACGCCGGTGCTGGCTGGCTGGCTTGCTCGCTCGGGCCCGGTGGCTCGCCTCGGCCGGACCCCGGTGATGGGTCTGCAGGAGTTTGCGGGTCCGCGATCGCCCGGCTCACGCCTTCTGTTTCCCCTTTATTCTGTAATAATGCGCTTCCCGGACGCTCTGGGTGCAGCCTGCGGCCGCGGTGCTTTGAGGCTGGTCTTAAAGGACACAGAGGGACGTCACTCAGATCTAACAGACCCCCAAGAACCCCAAAAGAGAACGCCTTGCTCAGCACAGACCGTTGCTTTATTTTACTTGCTGGTTCTGGGTTGAGTATTACCTTGTGTGAAGAAAGTTAGTGCTTGCTCATCTTTAAAAAAAAAATGGCATTTTGTTTACGTGTTGAGAATGACTTAATAATAGTACTTTCAACTTCACAGGCACGACTTTCTAAAGGGGGAAAAAATCAAATACCATGGCGATGTTAAGGGTCAGCTAACAAAATTATTCACTTATGGAGACAAAACTTTAATACAAGTGCCAGTTACGTAGTACGAGGAGTTTACATCTTTTGTTTTTGACCCCCCCCCCACCTTGGTGACACAGAAAACCAGGAAAGAAGGGGGGGGGGGGACAGTTGAGGAGCAGTGTTGACATATGGGTGGAGAGGACAGGGCTCCAAGACACAGCTTTTACTTTTCCTGCTTAATATAGAGTCAACCTGCAGCAGCATTTGTAACATAATTTAGAAATTTTAACAACAGTTATACTGATGTTTTGAATTATACGTAGACAAAAGAATCATCAAACAACATAATGATAAATAAGAGATAATTAGGAATAACATGTGGATTAAACCCTGGGGCCAGTCACGTTCTTAGGCAAAAGCTCTCCCACTGGATTTTATTTATTCTGTTTTATTGTTTGAGATCTAGTGTTACCAAGTTTCCGAGGCTGGCCTTGAACTCCTTGGCTTAGCCTCTGGCGTGTTAAGTTCTAGGCATGTCACCAAACCTAGCCAGGGCTTTTGGTTTATAGACTCGTTTTTTTGTCCTAAGGCCTGTGTTTTCTGTTGTAATCTTTTTATAATTGCATGTATCATTAACATCTACTGAGTGACACTGGTCAGCTGTGGTCGGTGTCTCATTGAGAGTGGGTTTACAGGGGGGTGGGGGAGGGGGGGCTGGAGAAAATGTGTGGCCTGTGGAAATGTCAGGTTTGTTTGCTCAGTGCTTGTTTACCAAGAGAAAGTACATCTCCTGAAGTCTGATTGACTCCCCTTTGCTTTTTTGTTGAGATGGGGTCTCATGTAGCCCAGGCTGGCCCTGACCTAATCACTTTCAAATTCACATGACTTCTTAAAGGGGAAAAAAAAATCAAATATTGATTTTTTGGGGGGGGGGGTCAGCTAACAGATTAGAGTTGTAAATCTTTCTGAATCCCATGGACTGAGGTTATAGACTTGGTCTCGTGTGTCTTTTTGATGCCCCCTTCAACATTCTCCTGAGAAAAACTCCTAGGTAATGATAAATTAGCCATCCTTTGGTAGTTGAATTGTTTCCAAAGATTAGTTCCTGGTTATGTTAACTTTTTTGCTTGTTTTTAATCCTTAAACAAGTCTTCTCATTCCTTAAGTATGCTCTGATGCCACATTCCAGTGAAGAGGCTCATCTGGGTTTGCAGAGTGTGAGGGAGGGAGCCCGGGCCCTGCAGGTGACTGGGTCCCTTCTCAGTTGCCATTGCCTGTATCTTCAGCGCTATTCCGTCCTTCCTGGCCGTTTGGTATTGTCATGTCTGAGTGTCCATATTCAGTCACATAAGCCTTCTCTGATTTACATTTATCTAGATGAGGTTAGGTAAGGAGTTAGGGGTTTTTGTTTTGTTTTTGAGTCAAGGTCCCGGCCAGGCCTCAAACTTGCTAAATAACCAAAGATAACCTTGAACTCCTCCTCTTTCTGCCCCAGCCTCCCAAGAGCTGGGACCCCAGGCTGGTGCTTTGTTTCCTGTTTAGTTTCTGGTGTCGAGGATTTAACTCAGGGCCTTGGAAAATGCTAGGGGGACATTGTATCACAGTCTTCTACCCCAACCCCAGCCTTTCCTGAACATTTTTATCGTGTGTGTGTGTGTGTGTGTGTGTGTGTGTGTGTGTGTGTGTGTGTCACCATTTTACTCGATCAGGTGGAAGTCTGAGGACATCTTTCCCTTTCGCCATGTGAGTCCTAGGGAATTACACACAGGTGGTCAGACACCAGCAGGTGCCTCCCCTTTTAAGGTTTTGTTTATTTATTTAATTTTTAATATTTTTGGATTTACTTTATTTCATATGTGTGAGTTTGCTTGCATGTATGTGTATGAACCTGATGCATGCTAGGTGCCTGTGGAGTCCCTGGAACCCCAGGAGCTGGAAGCCAGAGGGCCAGGGGTTCAAGGCCCACTACATAGTGAGTTTTAAGCCAGCTGGGACAACAAGAGGACCCTGTCTCAAAATCAAAGACAAAACAAGTTCTGGGTAGAAAGGGGCACTCTAAAAGATCTTCTGGAATGTGCTTTTTGACTTTTAAAGCAGAGGTGGTGGCTGGAAGGTCTTGTCCTGTTTGTTGGTGGAGGTTCTTTAGTGTATTGTGTATCCAGGTTTCTAGCAAAAAGCACTGTTACCTAAGGCAAGTCAGCTGACCTGTTGGCCTTTTGGCCTCTGGTGGAACTCCAAATGAGAAAAAGTTAGCACCGTTTTAGGCTGGGCATGGCGCGGGGGTTGCACACTCCTGTAATCCCAGCACTCAGGCAGCTGAGGCAGGAGGATTGCCTCCGATATACAGTGAGACCCAGCTGTAATGTAAACCGTAAATAGCATGCTGGGGGTGTGGCCTGATGGAGCGCTGGTTTCAGCAAGGCCCTGGGTTTGACCCAGAGCTCTGCCCGTGAATGCTCACTGGTCTGGTGTGCCTGACTGGTGCAGCGCTTAACCAACCTCACAGTGCGCCGCATCGAATGTTGGCACCTGCTGGGCCACCCATCCTTCATCCTTGCTATTCGCGCCATCACCGAGCTGAAGCCAGGAGTCTAAGTGACGAAAAGGATGGTACCACCCCAGCCCTTGTCCAGGCCCAGCCTAAGAGAGAGAAGCATTTAAACGGTGCTAAGAGTTGGGGGTCAGGGCTAGAAGGGAGCCTCAGAGTAGCGGCACTTCAAAGTGGAGAGGAGGGGGTTCCAGATAGGGTAACAGGAAGTCCTAGGTAGGAGAACAGGAAGTCCAAAAGAGGTGAACAGGAAGTCACAGATAGGTATCCTGGCAATTTGGGGTGGCCATAGAGATGAGAGTTCTGAGACTTTAATCTCCGAATACGAAAAAGTTAAATTACAATCTCCTGCTATTGACTTACACATCCCTTTCAGAGGATGAGTGTTGCACGCAATGCCAACAGGTCGTTTGCATGTTAGTGACAGAAAAGGCAAGTTGACCTGAGTCTCACAAAGACACATGTTCGTGTTTGAATGAGATGGTTGCTTATCCACCCTTTCCCTCCTGCACTGGCCTGATAGCGCCATCCTGCCTGGGATTTGCTGGCATTCTATGGCAAGGCTACCCATGCACACCTGGCAGAGCCTCCAGGCTGGATACCTGCGCCGTGGGGCTGCTGAGGGGAAGGATACTGTGTAACCACCTAAAAGGTGAGATAGTTACTGCGTTAAAACCCAACCATCTCCTCCCGGGTCTGCCCCATTTTAGTCAATGTAACTCCCTGAAGCCAAGCAAAGCTTAGCTGTCTGCCCACACTTTCACAGCTGCGCTGGATATTTCCACCTTCTTCGTCAAGTACTCTGCACACAGGCAAATGTAGGAAGGATCAGCTTTAAGAAGCTAACGATGGCTTGAAATTCTTCGGTTCCATTTTCTTTCCATGAATGCATTTCACCTTGTAAACTGAGCCACTTAACATGTCTGACTGACCCATAGTTGCACAAGAGTTAAGAAATTGTGTTGACGGAGTTGTCAACTTCAAGGTCACTAGCTGGGAAACCAAAAGGTCAACACAATACAAGTGGAAGTGTAGGAGAGATCTGACAGCAGGTCGTTTGGTGGGTGACCCCAGCCTGCAGATGTGGGAAGCAGTGAATTTGTCCCAACACAAAACCATAGACTTCTTAAGACTTGCTGAAGGTGTGTGCACGTGTGTGCCTGTTTGTGTGTGTACATATGTGTACTCAAAAAAAGCTGCATTCTCAAGTGTGAGCTTTGTAGATGTCACAGCTGGCCCCATCTTGAAGGGCTGGACAGATGCTCTGGGCGCTTCAAGAAGGAGCATGAGATGCTGTTTAGCCTGTCAGCCTCTACCACTGCGGGTCAGAGGGTCAGAGCTGTACTTCCAGCAGTGAAGACACCTGTAGGGTGCCCCATCCCTCTCCCTCCCCCTTTCTTCCATCTAACATGCATTCTAATGCTGGTCTGCTTGCAGCAAGGTGGCTGGAGGGCTGTACATCTGGCCTTAGAACTAACCAAGTGTGTTTCAGAGATTGCGATGCAACACATTTGGTAGAGTTTGAATTGGTAATGGTTTGTGTAGTTATTTTGTTTAAAATATACACTGCCTGAACCAGGCTTACAAAGAAAAAAGATATACGTCATAGAGCCACGGGGAGTCGGGGGGAGGGCGGAAGGGGGAGGGGCAGTTTAATCTGATTATGACGGCATGTTTCGGTGCTGTGTGTTTGCTGCGCTGATGTGTAAGCCATTGCCAGCTACTCATCGCCCTTTCCCCTTCCAAAGTCCCAGGTACAAAGACCTCTGCCATCGGTCTCCTCAGTCATGGAGTAATGGTGCTCTGGTTTAGTCACGTTTGAAGCCATGTGATAACAGAGATGGGGGGAAGTTGAGTGCTGTAGTCTAATAATAGTATTGATCAAGGTGGTTTTCTTAATAAATCACTTTGCTTCGTTGGAGTCAGTTCATTTTGATTTTATTTGGTATCTGACATAATGTCCCCTCATTTTGACGCCTCTCTTGCATCACAGACAAGTGTGATGTTGAAGTTTGCAGAGTTTTTAATGTCTCACTCTCTGTGGTCTTCTGTGTTTGTGTAGCTTGCACCGTCTCTTCCATTACAAGAAGATTTTGTTTATCACTGGAAGGCTATTACCCATTACTACATAGAAACTTCAGGTAAGGAGCGTTCATGCCTATGGTCTGCTGCAAGATGGGTTTTCAGATGTTTTACTTTGAGAAGTTTTTACCTTTGGTTCCTCTTTTAGGGTCATTGTAGTTGGCCCCTTTGAACATCTTCTGTGTTGGGCACCAGTCTAGATGGTGTCTGGGAACTGAGTAGACAGTCTCTCTCTCTCTCTCTCTCTCTCACGCAGCAGTCGGCAGCTGCTCCTGCCCTGAAGGAGCACTGACTGGGGGCGGGGACACAGTAAACGGAAGCACCTGTGTGAGTGTCCACTGTGTTAAGGGGACATGAAGCCGGCAGGATGGGGGTGGCGGTGTGTGTTTGGGTGTGTGCAGATGGCTACTTCAGTCTAGACAAGACTGCGTTGCCCTCGGCCGTGTCTGTCTGGAGGGGCCGTCACTGAGTGATTTTTCCTGGTGATCCGTCCGTCTAGCCCCTCGCTGGTGTTCTTGAGTGTCACTGAGGAAAGATGATCAGTGATTAAAGTCAGGAGACACTGGGTAGGAGATGTATAGATGTGTGTGGCTTACTCTCCTGAGGAGTGTTGTGTAAGGAGGCCTGAGGGGGCCGTGAGGGGGACAGACGACCATACCGGGCATCCTCAGTCTTCCTCTTCCTCTGTCCCCTGTGTCGTTCCCCCTCACGTGTGTGTGTGTGTGTGTGTGTGATGTGTGTGTGTGATGTGTGTGTGAGATATGTGTGTGATGTGTGAGTGTGTGTGTGTGAGATGTGTGATGTGTGAGTGTGTGTGAGATGTGTGTGTGATGTGTATGTGTGGTGTGTGATGTGTGAGTGTGTGTGTGTGACATGTGTGTGTGATGTGTGTGTGATGTGTATGTGTGGTGTGTGATGTGTGTGTGAGATGTGTGATGTGTAGTGTGTGTGTGAGAGATGTGTGAATGTGTGTGCACACGCGTGCGTGCGTGTGTGGTATGTGTGTGTTGTGTGAGTGTGTGTGATATGAATAAGCATGCCTTGGTGGATGTGTGGAGGTCAGAATACAGCTTTGTGGGGTTGGTTCTCTCCAGGGATAGAACTTGGGTCGTCAGGCTTGTACGGCAAGCACCTTTGCCTGTTGAGCCATCTTGTTGGCCCTCCGCCTTACTTTTTGAGACACTGTTTCTTACTGAAGCTCACTGATTGGCTAGATTGATTGGCCAGCAGCTTCCTGATACCGACCCGTCTTCTCCCTCCCCAAACCACTGGGGTCGTTTGCAAGTGGGTGTTGGGATTTGAACCCAGGTCCTCATGCTTGAGTGTCAAGCACTCTACCCACTGAGCCACCTCCCCAATATCCCCGAAGAGCACTCACCTGGCATGAGTTAGGTGCTGGGTTCTAGCACCAGCATTTTAAAAAGGAGATGGAGGGAGGGAGGGACAGATAAGTTTCAGAGGATCCAGAGGAGGAAAAGGCAGGTACCAGAGTAAGGGTTGTTTGTTGGAGAGTACCACTAAGTGGGGAAGAGAGAAAGCTACTCAGGTGGGGGCCTGACCTCTGGAGATTTGCCCGTGGAGACAGGGCAGAGGGCAGAGTAGCCAGCAGTCGGCTGTCCGTCCGTTGTCCTTATAAATTACCTCCTGGCTGCGCTGTTCTAATCGGTGAGGAGCAGGACATGGGAGATTAGCGTTAAGGATTAGCGAACCAAGCATACTTTAGTCCTTCCATGTAGTCTCCTCTGCGTGTGTCCTCTGTGCTGCTGCTGTACTTAAGTGGAGGCTGGGGTGTGGCCCTTCAGATTTAAAGTAAATTTACCTGCACTGAGTGCTTAGCAGCCAACCTGCAGAGGGTTTTTTTTTTTTTTTTTTTTTTTTTTTTGGTTTTTGTTTTTGAGAAGAGCCACCTTTTAATATTACTGTTAGCTTTTGTGGGTTTTGTTTTGTTTTAGTTTGTTTTACTTTTTTGGGGCCTTTAAGAAAATGCATTCTTGCTTTAAAGGATTTTGTCTATCTAGTAACAAAAGCAAGTGTGCGCATTAGCTAGGGAGGGCCAAATGCTGAGTTAGGTAGAGTCTTGGCATAGGTAGACAATGGAGAGAAAGGGAGTCGGAGGGGGCAAGGGCTGACCTGGGCTCTAAGTGGTCAGAGCCCCTGCGTAGGAGGAGAGCATGGGGTACTTCAGACAGAAGTGTTTTTGGGGAGCACGGGAACATTAATCATTTAGGGCACAGAACTCAGAGACCATTTCTAAACGATAATAGAGGAGCATTCACTGACATGTTCCAGGCCGTGGATCACAGTTTGGCTGTGTTCTTTCTAACAAGGATAGCCACACTGTGAGTTGGTTCAGAATTCGGCTCAGTCGGGTTGGAATGGGGGCAAGGAGGCCAATGTAGTTGTGCACAGGAAGTTTAGGAAGCTCTTCGAGTATTTGATGATGAATTTTCTATTGTTCAGATGATAAAGCCCCAGTGACTGATACGAACATTCCGTCCCACCTGGATCAGATGTTAGACATACTGGTCCAAGAAGAGAGTGAGCGAGAATCTGGAGAGACGGGGCCGTGTATGGAATACCTGCTCCACCACAAGATCTTGGAGACGTTGTACACCTTAGGGAAAGCAGACGTAAGTCCCTGACCCCTCTCCCCTATGTAATACAGGCAAAGCTCCAGGCGGGCAGTTCAAATACAAGATAGGAATGACACGTGGGGTGGTTGGCCTAAGATTGGGGAGATGGGGGATGTGTGTGTCCTGTGCAGCTAGGACATCCATAGAAAGAGCAGAGCCACCAGAGCTCTGGACCACACTCCTGCTTAGCTGCTTAGAATCCCAGGGTGACGTTTGTGAGGATAAACTCAAGTACATGTGCTCACAACCGCAGGGAATGTGAAGGACAGACAGTTGTCCTGTGAGAGGCTGGGGTGCTAAAATATCTCTGGTTATTGTGGCACTCTGAGTCTTCATGGTGGATGCAGTGCAAATTTTAAGCCTACTGAATTTTGAAAAGTCTTTGCAAATCTAATATTACAGCAGAAACAGGGTTTTTTTTTTTTTTTTTTGCCACAAGAGCTTCAAATCCACGCATCCTTAGCAACAAGGGCATGTTCTGAGAATGTGTCGGCTGGTTCTGTCATGGTGTGGACACTGTAGTGTTTACAAGCTGCCTAGTGCTGCCCAGTGCACACCTGTACTTCTGTGTGACCTCAGAAACTTTGGTTGTGTGAATTTCTGTGATGTGAAAAGCTAAAATGAAATGATAGTCGTTTTAATACCACGTAGTTGTAAATCATACTAAAGACCAATTTTTTTGACAACGTCTATGTGATACCCAAATTATTTGAGGTGCATTTGCGTACGTACACCTTTTTCTAAGGAGCGAATCTGCCCCCTAATAACATGAACCCTGTCCTGCTCCCTTGCCCCCATCCTTTGGAGTGAGGGGTTTTATGACCCTGAATTGAATTAGTTTGATGTTTCAGCAAGATGGTAGCAACTGTACTGCTAGTAGATTTACTTCTGATACAAGTGATTATAAATATCATTAGCATTTTATCTGAGTAATGTAAGGTAGCTGTCCCCTCATAAAGGTCATTGTGCTGAAGATTCTATTTTAGGCTGTTACCAGATAGCAGTATGCGATGCTCCCCAGACACACACAAGTCTCATGACTGTGTCACCCACTTCATCACAGGGCATGTGACGGCTCATGTCCCTATAATCCAGAGTGATCATCAGCATCACTGCATTTCAGCAAAGTAGCCAGCGTGCTTTAAGAACTTCCTAGTAATGTCCCTTGTGGCGCTTAAAATCCAAGCATCTCTGCAGTTAGCTTAAAGGAGTCAGGGCACAAGATCTCCTTTCATTAATGTCTGTGTGTTAGTTATAACCTGTTCGTTGCTGTAAGTAGCAAGATACGCCCTTGGTCTGGCAGGGAGTCTGCTCTCTTGGGCCGTGTTGTCCCAGCGGTAACCAGTCTGGCGGGGCCTGAAGCATGCCGGTCTCGATAGTGCATGCTCGCCGTGGTGTGTGATCAATCGCCTGAGGCCCATGTGCCCTGCATTGTCTCAGGTGTATAGCTGTGTTTCTAGAATGTCAGTCATGAGTATCCATGGGAAATTTCGTTATGACAGAGTCTGAGGGGGGCTGTGTTGACAGACCTGTTCTGTCCTGCTGTGAAATTCTGCCTATATTTTCTGTCCTGTGTCCAGTGTCCTCCGGGGATGAAGCAGCAGGTTTTACTGTTCTACACAAAGCTTCTAGGAAGAATCCGGCAGCCGCTGCTTCCACACATCAACGTACACAGGCCTGTGCAGGTATCCACCTCCCTGACTTCAGATTCAAAGCACATTGAACTCTGTATACAAGTAATATTGAATTGTTTTTCTAGGAGTAAAAATAATGGAGGAAATTATTCTAATAACATGGACATTAGCAAACATTTTTGTTTTGTTTTTTATATCTCACCATATTTATCTTTCTCTGTAAAGTTCTGTACATTTTCTTTTTACTTTACCTCCATAATGTCACAGGGTTTTCAAGTTTAAAACAATTTTTTGACAGAAATTAATTCGACTCTGTGGCGAGGTCCTTGCAACGCCAACGGAAAATGAAGAGATTCAGTTCCTGTGCATCGTGTGTGCTAAGCTGAAACAGGACCCCTACTTGGTTAACTTTTTTCTGGAGGTACGCTACACTTCCTGGGCTCACAGCTCCTTCTAAAATTGAAATTGCGTCCTCAGGAGCAATTCAGGTCTGCAGGTTCTGCCTACCAGGAGTAGTTTTCATTTAAGATCATTGTTTGTTTCAACTTGAAATCACCATGGAAAGAGAATTTCAAGGAATGCAGTTGAGCCAGATAAACTCTGAGCCCGGGAGCGAGGGGGGGGGGGGGAGACAGCCAGAGGGTGCAGGGGAGGCCAGGCTGTACCAGCAGCTCCTTTCCCTGTTCCCTGTTGGATGGCTGGCTGCAGTGCCTTGTACTACTTTTATAGCCATGCCCAAGATATGGTTTGTTTTAATTGATATTTTTCTTACAGCTTTAAAAAGGGAAATAAAGTGTGTCTACTTTCTGCTTTTGTTCACTTTCTTTTTCCCTTGGGGTTTTTTTTTAGATTTTTTTTAAATGTATGTTTACATATGTAAACGTGTGTGTGTGTGTGTGTGTGTGTGTGTGTGTGTGTGTGTGTGAGAGAGAGAGAGAGACAGACAGACAGACAGACAGATTCTCACTGAACCTGGAGTTCATCAATTAGGACAGACTGTGTGGCCGGCCAGCCCCAGGGACCGTGTGTCTCCAGTGCAGGGGTTGTAGGCAGCGCCCCCCCTCAAATCCCCCCCCCCCCCTGTGGTGGGAGCTGGGAACCTTAGCCTTTTAACAGCCTCGCGCTGCCCGGGCCGCGTTTTCTCAGCAGTGAACCTTGAGGGGTGTTTTAGGGAGGGTGGATCTGTTGTGTGCTGGCTCCCTGTCAGCCTGTGGACCTGCTGTCACAGGGTGTTGTGAGGTTCCCGGTGCTTGCCATTCTAATGTATTGTTTTGTCTTCTGTTGTTGAACGATCTGGGTTCCTGTCTGCCGTGTTCCTGCAGGCTGGCAGGCCTCGGCTGCAGTTGCGTGGCTTTGATTCTGTGAGAGGCACTAGGTTGCTGGAGGCCTGTTTCCTGTTATTGTCTGCCTTTGTTATCCGTCTTCGTTTTCAGCGGTTCTGTTAGTCGAGAATCTGGATTTCCAAACATATGTTACTTGGGCCGCATTATAGTTCTTTTGTTCTTAATGCTTGTGTAAGAAATAGGTTAGTTTGGCTGCCCGTGAGGTTTCTTCCCCTTGCTCGTGTTTTGAGGCAGTATCTCACTGTGTGGTCCAGGCTGGCCCCCACATGCCGAGTCGACCAGGCTAGCCTTGATCTTGAGGTTCCTTTCCGCCTCTGCCTGCATGCATGGCTGGCACTCATTTTTGAGTAGCCCAGGCTGGCTTAGAACTCTCAGCATAGCCGAGGTATTGGTGTGGAGGTCAGAGGACAAGTTGTAGGAACTGGTTTGCTCCACTGTGGAGTCTTGGGAATCAAACTCAGGTCACAAGCACCTTGACTGTGGGCCATCTCGCTGGCCCCAGTGATGCTCTTGTAAAGTACCACATGCTGTGGGTGTGGTGGGCAGTTGGCAAGTTGTTCACTACACGGAGTTGTTTGGATTGTGTGCCACGAGCTCATGTGTCTCAAGACTGGGCTAGTGAAATGGCAGTGGTTTCTGAGGACCGTCCTGGGGAGGACGGCTATGAGTCAGTTCAGCCTTCCTCGTGCCTGTGGTGACCGGCCTGTGGTGAGTCTGCCGTCAGGGGAACTTTACCTTGCAAATAATTCGATTTCTGTTCTATGCCAAATGGGAAGCAAGACATATTTTGCCTTGGAACTTAGGATTTCCTCCAGTTAAGACAGTTAAGAGTCTGTGTGTGTGGATGTGGCAAGCAAATGGAATCCCGAGACACAAATAAAAATGTCCTCAGAGTAGTTTCTCATGTTTTCCTAAGCAGACATTAAGATTTTTGAAAATCGTTAGTAAAAAGTTCTTACAGATTGAGGAAAGTTTAAGGCTCCCGTGGAAACCTCAGGTCTAATGCTGGCAACCTCTGAACTTTGGAGGTTTTGCATCCTCCCCTAGTGGGGTCAACATTGAGGTGATGTCTCTGTAATAACTAAGTAACCAAGAAAGCCGCAGCTGGCACCTGTGAGTCCTGGAGCTTTTCGTAGTCGGGTACCTGTGGCCAATGTCCCTCAGTGTGTGGTCAGAGCCAGATGCTTGTAGGAAGCCAGTAACTTCACGTGACTACAGTTTCACATCTAAAATGTGTTTGAGTCTGTACATTTCTGTACATTTCCATTTAATGCAACACTTACCGCCACCTGGAATGCTGGGCCTCATGGCACAGATGTGACACAGCAGCTACTGGAAGGCTTCTTGGTGGCTCAGGTAGGGTTGCCATTTCAGGACCTGCCTGGGTTCAAGGTTAGCCTGAGCAACTAAATGAGGCCCTGTTTCCAAATAAATAATTGAAGAAAGGATTGGAGGCACAGCTCAGTGGGGCCTCCCGAACATCAGCAGCACCTCTAGTCCCAAATCTTCTGCAGCTGGAGATGTAGCTCACAGGGATGGCGGGAGCTTGTGTAGCCGAGTGAGGCGCTGCCTGTGATCGCCAGCACGCCAGAAAGGAAGGAGGAGGCCGTTTTCTGTATGAGCTGGGCTTTGTCCACTTGAGGAGGCCCTCAGCCCTCACCCTGTAGCATGGTTTTTGTTTTCCTTTCCAGAACAAGTCGAAGTCGCTGGCTTCCAGAGGAAGCCTCCTGAGTGTCACCTCAGAAGATGCCCCCAAGAGTCAGGACCCTGCGTCAGCGGACAGCAGCCTAAGCCTCCAGCCTCAGGAGCTGTCAGGTGCTCCTGGGGTGGGGCACACAGAATCGGAGGATGCGCTCCCTCACCAGATGGATGACCTGTCTGCAAGCTTGGACGACCTCAATGTCACCTCACTGCCGGAGGCCTCTGCCCTTCCTCCAAAGCAGGATTACAACTTAGTGGATTCTCTGTTGACCCTGACGAGGAGCCCTGTGAGTCACAGACTTGCTCTCCCCAAACAAGATTCTTCCTCCCCTGATAAGGAACCCTGAATCCTTTCCTGTTTAGTTCTGCAGATAACACGTGTGTTCTTTCTCAGGACGGCCGGATAGCCGTGAAGGCTTGCGAGGGCTTGATGCTCTTGGTGAGTCTGCCGGAGCCCGCGGCTGCCAAGTGCCTTGCTCAGAGCACCTGCCTGAGTGAGCTGCTGACTGGCAGGCTCACCTCCCTGTACAAGGCCCTACCTCAGTCAGTGGACCCCTTAGACATTGAGACTGTGGAGGCCGTTAACTGGGGGTAAGCGCCACTGCATTCCCACGCAGGGCCCGCCTGTGTGCCCGTGCTCTGCAGCTGTCTTCTGCTTTACGGAGACAGGGATGCTTAGTTGTGAGAAGTCAGCTCGACTGTCATCACTAAATGGAGTGTTTTCTTGAGACTCATATTGTATGCGTCACTTAGGGGTGACAAAGTGGTGTAGGAACAGCCCAGGGTTATGGAGTCCAGCTCCTTTTATTTTGCCCATTATAGGGTTTACGTCAAGATCAGTAACTGGTTGTTATGTTAACAACAGAAATCTTTAGAAAAGGGACTTCTGTTTTGTTTTGTTGAGTCAGGGTCTCGGTTTGTAGCCTTGGCTGGCCTGGGGCTTGCTTTATGGACCAGGCTGGCCTGGAACTGTAACTTCCCCTTGCCCTAGACGGGTTAGGGTCCTGTGGCTTCACTGTAGACTTCTTCTCATACTCATCCACTGTCTTCTCAATAGAAAACAGGATTTTTGACCTAGAGAGGCAACTCAAAGTTCACAACTCACACTGTTCTCCTAGAAGCCCAGAGTTCGGTTCCCAGCATCCGCACAGGGCAGCTCACAACTGCCTGTAATTCTAACTCCAGGGATCACCTCTTCAAGCCTCCACAGAGCCTGCACTCACACGTACACGTCTACACAACACACACAAGCACTAAAAATAAAAATCTTCAAAAATTATAAACTGTTTTAAAATAAAAGCAACTATTAGAAAGTATTAACAAACATGCCACCTACCAGCAGCCTAATACTGTCATTGTTCTTAAAAGTTAAATATTTGTATTAACTATTTGAGAACTTGATACAGAATATTTTGATGATATTCACACCTTCTCCCCAGCTCCTCCGAGGACCACCCCTGCCTTCTTCCCCACTGAGCTCATTAAGCCCCTTCTGTTTTAAATTCATTGAGCTCAGTTTACGATCAGCCTAGTATTCCAGTCTATTTACCTTTTGCCATTTTTGTCCAGCTCCCTCTTCGACTGTCCATGCTGCCCTCGTTACCGTCATGAGCCCATTGCGTTTTAGGGTAGAAAGAACTGTCTGCTTTGGTAGACCTTCCGTTCCCTAGGTCTTCCGCTATCTTCTTGGCCAAGTCCCTGGTGTTGGATGGTTTTCTGTATCAGCCTCTCCCACCTAAGGAGAGAGCTGATTTACAGCTTTTATCTGAAGGGACATGTTACAAGCAGTTTCCACCAGCCTGGTCCCACAGCTGCATCAGTCCCAAAATAACACACAGACTCTTATTAGTTATAAAGCTGTCAGTGTCTAGAGCTTGTTATTGGCTAGGTCTGTCTTAAATATTAACCCATAATTACTAATATATGTGTTTTTACACGGTCTTAGCAGAGAGAGGGTCCTTACTCCTCTTGGTCCTACCTCTCCCAGAATCCTCCTTGTCTTCTAGTCCCTCCTATCTTGCCTTCCTATTTGCCAACAATACTTTATTCATTAGCCAGTAAGAGAAAACGTATTTACAGAATGACATCTCCCATCATTGACACCTCCTGCCCCTGTCTCCTGACCTCTCTGGCTGGGGTCCAGCACTGCTCTGTGTAAGGGCTGAGTTCATTCAGGTGCCCCTTTCTCCTTGTGAGGCAAAGGGCTGTGTGTGCACTGCCCTGGTTTCAGTTTGTCCCTGTGTCCTGCAGGTTGGACTCATATAGCCATAAAGAAGATGCATCGGCTTTCCCAGGGAAACGAGCCTTAATTTCATTTCTTTCCTGGTTTGATTATTGTGATCAGCTCATCAAGGAAGCACAGAAGGTTTGAATGCTTTGTTGTTTGTGGATAGTTTTTAAATGTATTGTTTATTAAGTAAAACTTGAATCAGTATTCCAAAATAGGGTCGCCCTCTGTAGTAACCCCGTCTTGCTGCACCGTATGTCCGTAGCCCGGTCTGTACCTGGGGGGGGGGGGGAGCGGGTGGATTGAGCAAGGGCTGGTAAAGACGCTAAGCAAGAGACAGAGACACAGGATAGAGTTGGGAGGGCAATCCAGGGGATATTGAAGGCCCCAAGTTTATTCTTCACCAGTCCTAAATACCCTAACCAAAAGGGAGGCATGGCAAAAAGACTTCTTTATCGTGTACACGGAACAAACTTTCTTCCCCAATTCTCCAAGGATTCCGTAACCACACCTTGGATTTAATTTCTCTTTATCTGGCCTTGAGAGTCAAGAGTAACCACACCTCATGCCAAGTCTGTTGTTATTTAGATAAGACACCCAAGGCCAAGATCAAACATCCCACGATAGCCACGCCTTAGACCTTTAGTTCTTACGACTTACTAAGGTTGAACTCTCTAACCTTGAGCCAAGATGAAGCAGAGCCATCTTTATGGACCTGGACACCAAAAGGGTCTCAGCTGTGCCTTTAAGTGTCGGGGGCAGTGTCTGTCACAGGCCGAGCTTCACAACGCTCGCCAGGCAGCCATGGCCCCGCTCTGCTTCCCCCACGGGGAGATGTCAATTACGCTAAAGTTACTGGGGGTTCTTCCCCCTCTGTTCTTTTTAGTTTGGGGAGAGTAGGGTGGGATAAAAGCAAACCTCTGCTCGTGCAGAGGACCCGGGTTTGGTCCTGGCCTCTGTGCCCAGGTGGATTTATCGATGTCCATGGTGTGTTCTAGACTGCTGCTGTTGCTCTGGCCAAAGCCATCCATGAAAGGTTCTTCATCGGTGTCATGGAACCTCAGCTGATGCAGACGTGAGTGCCCTCTCCCCTCACAGAAGTAGTCGCTCTTCCCACCGCTTCTCCCTCTGACCGCCTGTCTGCCACACCTAGCTCTGAGATGGGGATTCTGTCGTCAACGGCTCTTCTGCATCGCATTGTCCGGCAAGTGACCTCGGACGTCCTGCTTCAGGAGATGGTGGTCTTCATCCTCGGGGAACAGAGGGAGCCAGAGACCCTGTCAGAAATCAGCAGGCATCCCCTGAGACATAGGTTAATCGAACATTGTGACCACATATCTGATGAGGTAAGCCATGCATCTTTGAAATGCTGTCTTTTAATGTACTTGAGATCAATTTGGCGGCAGCGCGATGGCAGCAGCGTCACGGTGCACTGGCAGAGGTCAGAGGGCAGGTCTCGGGAGGCGGTTTTCTCCTCCACCATGTGTGTCCCAGGATGGAACTCGGGTAATCACCCTTGGTGTCATGCCCCGTTACCCATGAGCCTGCTCACTGGCCTCTGCATGTGATCCTTCAAACGAGTCTCTTTATGTGGCTTTAACACCTGGTGGTCTGAGGCTTTTGCCAACCTTGGTTTCAGATCAGCATAATGACCCTGAGAATGTTTGAGCATCTTCTACAAAAACCCAACGAGCACATCCTTTATAACTTGGTCCTGAGAAACCTTGAAGAAAGAAACTATACGGAATACAAACCTTTATGCCCGGAAGACAAGGATGCGGTGGAGAATGGGCTGACTGCAGGAGCTGTGTAAGTGCCAGCATCTCAGCAGCCAGTGTGCGGGCTCCCCCCGCAGGGAGTTTAGCCCGCTCCTTGTAAATGTCAGGACATGCTAAATACTCGTTGAGCCCGTTAACAAAAGTAGCAATGAGCCCTGGAGATTGTTAGTGTTAAATGGGAAATTGCATATTAAACAGATCAGTCCATATTTCTTTGTATTAGAAAGATTATGTAATATTTCTCAGAATCTAGCGAAGAATCTATTGGTTTAGAAAATGTCATAATAAATGTTGTTTTTTATACATCATTAAATTAAACGTAGAGATCTGGAGGAAGATCCATTATTTGCTGACATTTCACCAGATAACACTCTGCCAAACCAAGGATGGATTGGTTCACCCCATGCCAGCCCAGACCACCCCAAAAATGATGGCAAGACGGAAGTCCATAAAATCGTCAACAGGTGAGCCACTGCGGGATTGGCTGGGTCTGAACCCGCAGCTCCGCCCTTAGGCCCTCACGGGAATGTCTCTGAGTTCAGCCTCTACAGTTCAGTGTGTAGCAAGTGAGAGCTGGGGCCACAGTTGCTGCCAGGAGAAAATCCCAGCTCAGTAGAGAAGTGGGTGGGTTTCTCTCAGCCTGTGTCTGCTCCTGCCGTCGACCTTTGGCGTGGCAGCAGAGGGTGGAAAGAATAATTGAAAAAGGGGTGATGGTTAAGTGTGCCAGAGTTCTGATAGAGACAACTCAGCATTACACAGTTGCCAATTACAGCTACATTGGCAAGCACCAGTTTGGCAAATTGTGCTCTCTATGCATGTGTGCTAGTATCGAACTTTGTTTGTCAGTTTGTGTTTTTACATTTTTCTAAAATGTCTCTTCATGACAATTTTCTCTAGTATCTTTGCTCTTAATGCTGTCAGTGACACGCCTGGTCCTGGCAAGTGACATAAAGTAATTGCATCTGGCTCAAATGTGAAAATTACAGTCCATAAAAATATCTCAAGTTCAATCACTTAAAGCTAATTTTTTGAGATTAATAAATAAAGCAACCAATTTTGTGACATTATTAAGGGTTTTTTTTAGGCATCTGTTACATACAGGATTAATGATTTTTTAATAAAACCTTTACTGAGAACAATGTGTATTATTATTATGTGTAATGATTGTATTATTAAAAGTGTTACTTTGACCTTTCAAGTTTCCATATGCATTTATAGCTGGTTAAGCTTGCTGTGTAGTGTCATGCTTAGTATATAAGAGCGCAGTGGAGACTTCTCATTGTGGCCTTTCCCTTTAAGTTTCCTTTGTTTAGTACCAGATGAAGCAAAGTCATCCTACCATGTTGAGGGCACTGGCTATGACACCTACCTCAGAGATGCTCATAGGCAGGTACGTGACAAAGTTGACTGATTTTGGGGTAGGGGAGGGTGTAAAATGCACACACATTGTCCCCTCCCATTACTCTATCCAGTTACCAGAAATCATTACTCCAGAGAAAAGAGGTATCTCACCTGAGAAATACGACTTTAGTCTGCTGACACCATCTATCAATCATCTATCTCTCTTTCTTTCTTTCTTCCTTCCTTCCTTCCTTCCTTTCTTTCTATTTATCATCTATCCGTCATCTATCATCTATCTAGCCATCATCTATCTGTCATCTATCCATCATCTATCTTATCTATCCATCCATCCACCATCTATATATTGTCTATCATCTATCCATCATCTGTCATCTATCTATCCATCATCTATCACCTGTCCATCATCCATCATCTATCTGTCTATCTACTTTTGATGTGGGGCTTCAGGTTAGCCAGGCTGGCCTTGAATTTGCTTATGACTTTGAGCCTCTGCTTGCCTCCCAGGAGCCAGGGTTACATATGTGTGCCACCATTGCTTTCCAGGACTAGTTCTTATTGCCACCATCATATACTGACACTTCATTAAACACAATAAGGAATGAATTATTAGATAAATGAAAATAAATTAAAAAAAAAAACTCCCAGGTATTGGCCAATATGAAACTGCCTAGTCAGATTATATACAAGCTATTTGTGCTAACTCTCCCGTTTCCGTTCTCATCACTGATGGTGGTCACAAGACTCTGAGGGTCAGCATTGGCCCATCCTTTCCTAGTGACATGCCTGGTGTCTGTATGTTCTAAGAACAGTAAGCATGCTTGTCATGGGGCACCGTCATCCATTTCATGTTACACCTCACACACCTCTGAGGCTTTGGCTCTGAACCTTGCCTCATGAGCGTTCCCCAAGTCTGCCGTGATGCCCGAAGGATTCAGTCCCTTACAGGAAAAAGCAGGTGCTGATGGAGAGACTTGACAAGGTCAGACACGCCGTTTCCCCACCGGTCTCGATGTGCCCGTGCTGTGTGGTGTCCCCCGTGCCGGCCGCCTGTTGATGAGCTGAGCTGTCCTTTCTCCCCAGTGATCCGTAATGCTTTCCCACAGTTCCGAGACTACTGTGCCATCTGCTTACGCTGGGAGTGGCCTGTCGCCCCCAAACCACTGGAGAACTGCGACTTAGAAGCCACCTTCTTTGAAGGACATTTTTTGAAAGTTTTATTTGACAGAATGGGAAGAATTCTTGATCAGGTAATGCATCAGAAGACACTGATTTTCACATTAATGTGGCTGACTCATGAAGTAATCATCCTGGCCAATCGTGTCTTTCTGTTAGATGAGTGTCCATAGTCTGCGAATCCCCACAGCCAATAGACTGTCTCTTAAAGAAGACTCTGTGTGTGTGTGCGCGCGCGCGTGCGTGTGCGTGTGTGTATTCTGTTGTAAATAACTAGGAAAATATACTTCAAACTCAATCCTTTATCCTTCTTTTTTAGAAAGGCAGGATTTTGAAACAGGGTGATTCAAAGGAAAATCCCCGTGTTTATGAGTTCATAGTGAGTAAGAAAGCCTACAGTTGAACTGAAAGCCAGGAGCTGTGTAGGGTACCTTGTACCCAAACGTGTGCTCATCCACGCGTCTGCCGTCTCCTGGCCTGTGCCCAGCCAGCCGTTCTCTGAGTGTCAGGGTTTGGCCGTCGGTTTTTGCTGTGGCCAGTGAATGGTAATAAAGCAGGGTCCACTTGTGCTTCTCAACTCGGTCCTGCACACCCTGACTGTCCCAGGCTCGAAAGTCTATCTTTCGAGGTAGTTAGTTTTTAGTCCACCAGTTTCCTGTGTCCGCCTGGAAGGAGAGAGCTAGCGGTGTGCGTGGTCCCCTTCGGAAGTTCTGAAGACACCATCCTCTCTAACGCTGGTTATGATAAGTTATCTACGGCCTGTAACAGTGATGAACAATGAAGTTCAAGGGATGTCATGGTACTACGTGCAAGAGATGCCTGGCGAGGGACACACATGTTGAGTCATGGAGAAGGGTCCTGAGATTGTACCGCTGTGTTTAACAGTTGACACGCCTGCTTTGTTGGGAAGGTGGGCTGCTGTGTCCTCTGTGTCTGACAAACTGGCAGGGTTGACGGCATCGCCTACGTAAACAGCCGTCTGCTGTGCTGCAGCTCTGTCTTTCTGTAGGTGTCTGTGTCTTGTAAGTTTCAGCATTGTGCAGTAAGTGCACGGACTTCCATGGTCAGCTAATTTAGCTGCCCGTGTCTCCCTCGCAGAGGCCGGGAGGGGCGGGTCTGTGGAGGAGCCACACTGAAGCGTCTGGGAAGCACAGGATGAGTGTTTGTGTTCTGCTTCCTCTCAGCCATACGACGTGAACCTGCAGGTGACCTCAGTGCTGTCCAGGCTGTCTCTCTTCCCGCACCCACACATCCACGAGTATCTTCTGGATCCCTATGTGAACCTGGCCTCTGGCTGCAGATCTCTGTTCTCTGTGATCGTCAGGGTGAGTTCATTAACTCTCTACTCTCTGGGATCAATCAGCTGCCAGGTCAGTGTCCGACCTTACAGTGTGCAGTTAGTTTAACGTAGAATGCGTCTCCTGCTTGCAGATAGTTGTTCTTCTCTGAACCATCAGAGTTAAGAAAATCCATTTAAACTGTTGATTGATGAAGCAGAGAGATGGTCCAGGGGTTAAGAGCACGTGTTCTTTGTAAGGACCCAGAATCAGTCCCCAGATGGTGGCTCACAACCATCCCTAACTCCAGTTCAGGGCGTCCAACACCTTATTCTGAGGTCTAGAGGAGCCAAGCATGTGTGTGGTACACGTACATACATGTAGTAAGTGTCAGATTGTTGTATTTATGTAGTGTACACACACATACATGTGCACGTGGGTGAGCATGTGCCCGTGTTGCACGCGTGTATTTGCCGGTGTGCTTGACTGTGTGGGCAGAGGTCGATGTCTGGTGTCCCCCTGCCACTTTGAGGCCGGGTCTTCTGCTGAGCCCACAGCTTCACCCTTTCAGCTGGGCCGGCTGCCCAGTGAGCCCCTGGGATTGTCCTGTGCCCCCCCCCCACTGCCGGAGTTACAGATACACGCCACTGCCGCCAGCTTATAGGTGGGGGCTGGGGATCCGAACTCAGTGCCCACACAGGCACAGCAAGACCGCGCCAACTGAGTCGTCTCACGCCCTGACATTAATGTTTTGAAGATTAGATAGGAGTTGTTGGTCAGAGATAAAAGTGACACTTAGGGTTCTTTGGTGACGGGAAGGAAGGTGCCCCAGTCTGAGAGCCCCTGCAGAGTCACCCGGGAGCTGAATTCTGGCTTGGTGCAGGTTGTAGGTGACCTCATGGTTCGGATTCAGCGCATTCAAGACTTCACCCCCAAGCTTCTTCTGGTCAGAAAGCGACTGCTTGGCTTGGAGCCCGAAGGCCCGATGTGAGTTGGTGTTTTACACACTTTATCCGGAAATCTGATACAGCTCAGCGTTGTGCTGTTACCCTGATTTTCTGTCTGTCCTTTCCAGTATCGACCACATCACATTGCTAGAGGGGGTGATTGTCTTAGAGGAGTTCTGCAAGGAGCTGGCGGCCATCGCGTTTGTGAAATACCACGCTTCCTCCACACCATGAGTGATGTCACCATGCCTTGGCCACAGTCACCCTGGTCCCTGGGAACCCAGATTACTGTGTACGTACATTTCATCCGAAAAGACCCAGCTATGCCCAGCCACGAGAGGACAGAAGACCGCATAGGTGAATTAGATCCGCCGAGTGAACGCGCCTGATGTCACTTCCCCTGGCTCTGTGTAAATCGCACGTTGTTGAAACCTGGGATGCAATCAGGACTTGAGGAGACGGCCTTTCCTCCCCAGTGACTGAAAAGCTGCAGAACTCTGGCGTCCATGTCAGCCCTTTGTTGGTTTCTGTTATTTTAACATCCTTCCAGGCGGCAAAGCATCTGCCATCCTCTGGGACTCTAATGCTCATACTCTTTTGTATTAATAAGCAGCAAAAAAAGAAAATCACTAATTTTATAACTTTTTAAAGTTAAGACTCTTATCATACAAAATATTTAAGCATACTGTAAATGAGAAAAAGAAACCGTAGTTGAGGAGCCACCAAGAGAATGTCTAGAACATGAAACACGCAAAGCGACATCAACTTCCTCAGCTTTTCTAAGATAACAATTTACTATGATAAAGAAAGTATTAATTAATATATATATATATATATTTTTAAAGAAACGTTCCTTTACTCTTTTGTGCACATGGCCATGTTCGTGGTTGATTTTCACGTGTGGCTCCCAGTTCACTTAAACTGTCATTTTTTGCATCGCATTAGATTGATGTTCATCATTGGCAATGTTCGCTAAAATAGTATTTTTTTTAAGCTAATTAACACATACTGAGTTTTGACCTCCCCCATCCCCTCTCTGAGAATCGCTTTATGAAATTGCTTTATAATTGATTCTTTTACTGAAGTGGTCGTGTCCGGGTGGGGACTGATAACTCTTAGGCAGCAATCAGAATGCCAAGGGCTCTTAATGTTTACATTTGTTTCTCATCTTTTTCCCAGCCTTTTGTCTTAAGAGATTCTAGAGAGATTTTTAAAACGTCTTTTCATGTTCAGTTTACACCTTAAAGGGTTTGAGGAAAGGGAGTGTGTGTGAGTGCAGGAATGCCTAGGTTGGCCGAGTTGCAGGGCACAGCTGCAGGCCACCCTGTCCCCCTGTCTTGGTAGTCTTCAGGTGAGTGGTGCAGTCCTTGTCCTTGAAGTGTTAAACAGCAGGACCTTTCCTCTTCACTGTTAGGAGGCTCAGCCATAGAGGGCCTGCCTCACCCTCTGTGACGTCACCAAGTGTGTGTGCAGCCCACACTCGTGGCGAGTGCATGTCTGTGACGTCACCCAATGTATGTGTACAGCCCCAGCTCATGGCGTGTGCTCAGAGCATGTCTGACACTTTGCTGGGTCTGTGTTACTAGCCTTTTATAGTTCAGTTTTGCTACTTAGAAACAAAACACCGAAAGCTATGAATAGCTTCAGTTCTATAATGACCATCATTGTCAAAACAACTATACCTTTCTAACATGATGCAAATCTTTCTTTGCCCATTCAAGAAATCCGTTAAGTAAATCAGTAACAACAGGAGACAGTGGCCGCCTGCATGGTTTTCCTTCTGTGGCTTTGAGTGATGAGAAATGGTTCGTTTTGTTGTTATTTATTGACCAGTTTGTGCAAGAATCACCACAACACCTCAGGGTTTAAACGTTGCTGCAGTCTACTTTGATGAAGGTGTATTTAAAACGAGGCATTGAGAAGTATCGGATATGCCTCAGTGTGTTGCTTGTGCTCAGTAGGTGTGTGGCAGCCATGAGGTCACCTCCCAGACTGCGCCCTTGACTTCCCAGCAGGACTAGCGCCTGTCCATGCAGCTGAGCTCAGTAAAGCTTTAACTGTGATGTGTGTGTGCTTGCTGCTTCTGAGAATAGGGCTCCCTGTGTTGCCGTAACCAGCTAGGCCGACCCTGCTGCTCTTCTGAGTTTGATTTCTTTTTCATATTTAATTCAGACCTAGAGTCGGCGCAGGTCATGGAACTAAGTTGACTTAGGGGAAGCATGTGCCGCCGCCTCACTCTGCTCGAGGTCTCAGAGACCGGCCCTTTCTGGTTATCTACAGACTCTGTGGGTGGAAAGCACCACCTTAGCCAGTGGTTGCCATGTGAGTTCCAAACTGATCTCTAGCCTGCTTCGCCTTTGGGAAAATAGGAAATAGGTGTGCAGTTTTTTTTTTTTTTTTTTTAACTTCCTTACCGTAGTCTTTGGGTTTATTTTCAGTAATGAGTCATTATTCACTTGACAAAAATCAGATTTGTCGTTGCCAATTTTTATTATAGTGTTCACCTTATAACTATGTAATGTTCTTGTAATGTATCTGTGCAATATGAAGCTATGAGTGGATTCATAGCTTTTTGGCTTACCTGTATATTAATTGTGTTTGTACATGAGTGTATATAAATGTATGTATATATGTATATGGACCATATTTGGTCTATATATGTATATGGACCAAAACCCTTAGCTTGCTTACACTGTTGCTAGTGTAAAGATTGTTCCATTTATTTTTACAGGGCACAAATTATAGAATGACTTTGTACTTCCGTGGTAACGTCTCTATAATTTATTACGTTACAGTTACCATTTAGTTATTAAGTTCACCGTGTAACAGAAGTTACAGTGAAATGCTAAACCCACAGATGATATGGTAATTGTAGACTCGGGGTTGCAAAATACGCATGTCATCATGACTGTTGCTATGTTAAGACAGATAACCCTACCTGTGGCCCTGTAAAATATTGTCACTAATACTCTGTTGGCCTCCTGCCTTGTTTACATTAAACAGGATATTTGGTACATTTTTCTATGAACATCGTGTAGGTCACTGATGGTGGCCGCTGATGGAGAAGCTCTCAGATGACTGTATGCCCACCGCCCTCGGGGAGGGGCGGTCAGCTTCAGGGTCTGTGCTAACAGTGCATGCAGGACTAAGCGGGAAATCGGCAAAATAAATCAATGTAACTGAAACAAAACATGGTCTTACTTTCTTACTGAATTCTAACTGGAAGTATTTTACCCACTGCTAAGTCTGAAATTGCGATTCTTTCTACATTTATTTGTTTTTATTCTTTGACACACTTCGGTCATCTTCACTCCCCTCTACCTTCTCCCATCCCCCTCCCGCCAGCCGAACACCCCCACCCCCCATCCCTGCTTTCACGCCCTGTTTCCTTTCCTTTTGATCCACTGGGGTTGGACTTGCTGCCGGGAGCCCTGCTGGTGCTGCTCCTTACTGAGCTGGGCAACCTGGCAGTTGTTACACCAGAAAAGAAGCCCCGCCCCCACCATTCAGGTAGCTCCTCCAGGAACAGGAGGCCTCCTGGACCCCTCCGGTGGTGATGGGGTGCGGTGATGGGGTGTGGCAGGCCCGCCTTGTGCAGGCAGCCAGCATGTCACTGTGGTGCCCGCCCGTGGGAGAGCTTACTTAGGTCTGATGGGTTCCCTGGGTGAGTTCCACCTGTCCCAGCCAGCCCCTCCTTGACAGGCATGTCCCAAAGTGTGTGGGAGCCATAGGAAACAATCATGTTTCCAACCTTCTAAAAACCTTTCGTTTGAGCTGACATTTAAGACAGACCCCAGCCCTACCTACGCATTTCCTTGAGTGTCTGTCCAAATATCTTAATTGGGAAGAGGGAGTGGGCAGCCAAAAGGAAAATCTGTTACCCAGAAAGCTTTGGAAGGGATTGGGGCTATTGGATTGGAAGGACCAGGCAGGTTTGTTTGAGTGACAAGGAGCCCCATTACCTACTTCCCCCAATAGATTTAAAAAGGAAAGCAGCATCTTAAACGACAGCGGGTATGGAATCCAGTGGTGGTTCCTCAGAAAGAGAAGACCAGTCTTCCTCAAGATCCAGCCTTACCACTCTTGGGCATCGACCGGAAGGACATTTCGTCCTGCCACCATGTTCGTTGCTGTTATATCCGCAATGCCCAGAAACTGGAAACAAACCAGATGTCCATCGACAGATGAACGCATAATGAAAATGTTAACATTTATACCTTGGAGTGTGTTACCCAGCCGTTAAAAAAAGTGAAATAAAATAAACTGGTGAATGGATGGGACAGAAAAGGTTGTGAGTGAGGTATCTCAGACCCAGAAAGACAAATGTGGTGCGTATAATCCACTTGTATATGGATGCTAGCTGTTAAGTCATTGATAAGCTCGCTACGATCCATGTTACCACAATTAAGTAGAGAGTAAGGGACTCGGGGGAGGGATGGGTCTCTAGGAAGAGGAACAGGAAGGTTAAACAGGGAAAGGGAGGAGAGACAGGAGTGGGGGGGGGTAAAATAAGGGCCTTTGGTGCTCGTGTGGAAACTTAATCCAGTAGAGGAGAGGCCTCCTAAAATACATGACAGTGATCTAAATCAAATCAGCAAATAATGGGGGAGACAGCCACAACTGGATGTTTCTCAAAGAGAACTCGTAGTATCAGGAATGGGTTCCATGTCATTGTTGGCCAAAGGGGTCCTGTGTGGGCACCCAAACAACGCAGGCTGTTGCCAAGGCCGTTGGTGGCTTTCAACAGAAAGATGGTAAAGCCCGCTGCTGAAGACACCTACACAACTCACTAAGCACCTACCCATGGCCTGGTGTTCATGGCACTGGAAGGTCCCTGCACACAGTCAAAGGAGAAACAAACACCAGCCCAGCAAACCAGCTCCAAAACCTTTGCTCTACAATGGTGCTACCTGCGAGGTGCACTGGAAATGTGGCACAAAGCTGTGGGCGTAACCAACCGGTATCTGATAGAAGACCCAAGAACCTGAGACTAGATAGCCCAGGGACCTAGGGGAAAACCAAATGCTACTGTTCTTTTGACGGAACATAGCAATAAAATGGCTCCCAAGGACATAGATCCACGCCTTGCCCAGCCATCACCAGAGAAACTTCCTCTTGGGCACAAATATGGAAACCCACAACCAATGATATGCGGAGAACACTCTCCCTGGTGGGGCTCTTGGAACTGCGGACGTAGGGGTAGAAAGTGTAAAAGCCAGAGGACATGGAGAACACCAAGGAGCCCGGGCCTTGTAGATACAACAGGCCTATGCACGTACGAACTCCCACAGACCGAGGCAGCGTGCACAGGGCCTGCACAAGTCTGCACAGATGGGGTCCAAGAGCAGACTGGAGAAGACGCTTGCCCCAGCCCTAACCCAGGAGCCACCTCCAATTGATAGCCACTTGCAAATGAAAACTCAGTTTTCTCGAAGGCAGTCTCACGGAGAAGACAAACCGCTCGTAAAGGTCTGTCCTATGCCGGCAGTAGTGGCCAACACAAAATGGACTCAACAGTATCACTGAACGGCATGTTGTTGTTTTGTTTTAGTCCTGTAGGCCTGTGGTGGTTTGAAAGAAAAGTGGCCCCCAAAGGGAGTGGCGCTGTTAGAAGGTGTGGCCTTGCTGGAGTAGGTGTGGTCTTTTTGGAGGAAGTGCGTCACTTTGAGAGTGGGCCTTGAGGTCTCATGCATGCTGAAGCCACACCTGATCTGAATAGGGGTGGGGGGGAGTAACGGGAAACCATAATCAGAACATGTGTTATGAAAGAAGTCTGTTTTCAATAAAATTAAGGAAAACAGCACTTTTGGAAGCCATTAGCGGATCCCCAATCCAAAACCCATCCGCACTGCAGCAAAGTGTCTTGCAGTGATTTATCTGGAAAATAATAATCCCAAGAGAATTTAAAGAATTAACGTAAACGTTTGAAAGTTGCCTTCTTTCCTGGCGAAACAGCAGTAGTTCTTTCCTAAACAGAAGATCAACCAAGCTAAACGCCGCATGCCGCGCCCGTGTGTTTGATGGCAGTGGATCTGGGAAGTGGCATGCCTTTGCTGGTCTTGGGTCAAGCCTAATTTTAACATCGCTCCTTACATGTTCCTCTCCCCACCGCAGGAAGATCCATCTGAGCCTTCCACCTCTTGCTTTCTTTTGTAGTTCTGGGAGGGGAGCATAGGGCCTTGTCTACACTGGACAAACATTCCACCACCCAGCTAAGTCCCAGATCTCTCTTCATTTCAGACAGGCACTCTCCAAGTTGCCAAGACTCTTCTCTGTAGCCCAGGTAGCCATTGAACTTCCTGTTACTGTTGTCTTCCAGATAGTTGGGATCCCAGATCTTCTCTGTATGAGTGTGGACGTCCTGTGTGCTGAGTGTCTTAGAGATTTCCCCGTGTTATGTCATTTCTGAAAATGTACCATAAATAAGACATCTACTTCACCCAAGGGTTCTGTTTACTCAACAAGGGTTTATGGAGACATTTCTGTGAAGCTGGGTCAAGATGCTCAGAAAATGAACAAGAAGTGATTCCTGAGTTTGACAAGCCACAGCCCTGGGGGGGGGGCAGTTTAGCGTTTGCACAAACACAGTACAACACCTTATGTTGTGACCTCTTAGAGAAACTGGAAGCGGCTGGAAGACGGTGGGAGTCAGTGGTGTTTCAGATCAACAGTGAAGTCTGAGCTGGCCGTGGTGGTGCATAACTGTTATCCCAGCCTTGGGAGCTTAGAGGCAAGAGGAGCTGGAGTTCCAGGACACTCTTAGCAACACAGCAAGTTCAAGGACAGCCGAGCCACATTACATGGAACCTACAGACCAAAAAACAAACAATAAAAGGGGAAATCTGAAGCTCAGGTCTGGATCAAACTTGGTTGGTGGCAGTAGTTGAGATAGGATCCCGTGTACCCCAGAATGGCCTCCAACCCAGATCCTCCTAGTTCCACCTCCCAAATGCTGAACCTTCTTCGTTCCTAGCTGCCTGCCCTGAGGAGGGCAGGCGTCACAGGCCCTTCCGGACAGCCTCTGCCTCCAGCAGAAATTGAGGAGAGAGCAATCATAAAAGCAATGTTCCTGCAGAAAACTGAGAGGGCACGCCCATCACTAGCGTGGATAGTTACTACTCAAAGCCGGAAGGATGAGGTCCACCTGTGCATGCCTCCTTCCGTTCTCCAGTAGGCCCGGATGGAGGGGGATCAATCGATTAGACTTTTCTAGAGAACCCTGAACTGGATGGGACATTCTAGAAGCAAACAAAGCCGTTTACATTACACTCTACTGTCGAGACCTCCACCATTCTGTTGTTTTTATCATCAGGTTAGGCAGGCAGTGTGAGCTCTGCGAGCTTCGCGGGCTCCTCACATGCGCTGACCCTTGTGGCCTTTGTGTCCGTCCTGATTTAGTGGTGCTCAGGAAACACACCGCCCTCCAGCCGCCTCAGTGTTGGGAGCCAACAGAAACGGAAGCAGAGGAAGCACTTGCTCTTGGGCTCGTGGTCCGTGGCCCTCGGAATTCTCGACAAAAAGCACTTTTGATGCTCTGAAGGCTTTCGCTTCCCACAGAATGATCTGGTGAGACGCGGAGCAGCTAACCCTTCCCCTGAACACACTGCTGCACATGAGGCTCACTGGGATCTTGGTTCAGGAGGGCCACACCCCCACAGTAAAAAGCTGAAAAGGCAAATGTGCCTGGCAATTTCTGAGTGTCTTTCTTTGAAATTTGACGTTGAAATAAACACGCATTTTCCCAGCCCTTAATGTCTGGCATCTTTCCATGCATAGTGTGTATGCAATATAATTGGTATTCATTGAGCTCCGAATGTTTCAGAGGGAAAGCTGATACTCATCTTGCAGAGCGGTGTTGCTCATCATCTCTTTTTATTTCAGTGGGAAGAAAAGATGAGGGACGTGTAATTAATTTGACACAGATAATTCTGGGTTGAGCACTCCAATCTCAACACTATTGTTAGGGCCTCCGAATTATTAAAAGTTCCTCGTCCCCGTTTGTGCTGCTCGCTCTTGCCGTCCTTTCTGACACAAAGCCATTGCATGTTGGTCCTTTTTGTACATATGTGTCACCAGCAGCTCAGCTTCCATGGACCTCTTGGTTAAACCGAGATGCTTGACTTTTCTGTTGACCCCTGCCAGTTCCCCAGACCCTATCTATGTCATGCCTTTCTCTG